TCACTGTCATTTCCACCACACTGTACAAAATAGAATCCTGGGATCAGTGTTTTAGGTTTGTATATTTAGTAACCATAGCAACAGAAACTCCACAGTGGAACACATGGCTGGATGAAATGGTGTCCTCTACAGGGGGTAATGAAAAGAAGAAAAATCAAGGTAAATATGAGTAAAACTGAGAGTATGTTTATTGGTCGTCATTTCCAAACAGCTCATATTTCACATGGACGTAAAAATAACTGGATACATTTAATTTAATAATGTGTAATTTGTGTATATTTAATGCTAACTCTAAAACTAATATTAGCAGGCTAACATAGCATGAGATTTTAGAGGGAAAGTGGGGAAATGTCATTTCCACCACAGTCATTTCCACCACGGTGTTCATTGTGGTGGTAAAGACAGGTTGTGGTGGAAATGACATTGTTCGTGCTAAACAGCAAATTATTTGGGCTATAATACTGATACTAAATTCAAAAACAGTTTTAACAATATTACAATATTGTTGGTAAATAAGAGAACAATAGATAAGTAGGTTTGACATGATGTCTTGGCTCTTTCTTTAAGATGGCAAGCAATACCACAGCACAGAGGTCAAGATCATACAGAGAAAGAATAAAATCAGATCCACTTAAATATGCAGAGTCCCTCAAGAAGGACAGAGAAAGATACCTGAAGAAAAAGCAACAAGGTGTTGTTAAATCTGTGACAGAAATGCCGAAAAGAGAACAACGAAAAATGAGAAGACAGTGGCGAATTTCTCAACGAAACAGACGTAGGAAATGGAAAATGGTCTCAGCAGTGAATAGTTTCATGGCACATACAACACCACCACCATCACCAGACAACATGAGTGTTAATGCAGAAGACATCCCTGAAACACCTCAGCTGTGTGAGCCTACACCAGAGAGAACTCCACAGAGGAAAAGAGGGAGAAAAAAGGTGTACAGAGATCTTAATGACATTAAACAAAAGCTTGAGGATGCCCTCAGAAAAGTTGAAAAATACAAAAAAAGAAGTAATCGACTGAAGAAGAACCTGGGGATCCTAGAGTCACCTAAAATGAAAACAAAGCAACAGATGCAGCAAGAAAGCAAGCAATTAAAGAAGACACTCCTATTCCATAACACCATTATGTCAGAAATAAGAAAAAAGTATCAGAATGTTGACAATCGTAAAGCTCGGCAACTGATCTCCAAACTTGTGGCTGGCAAGATCTTAAAAAAATACCGCCTGGTCACCATGGCCAAGAAGGAGTTTGGATTCTCTACAAAACTAATCAGGACAAACATGACAAGGGCCGACAAACTCAAATACACCCGCAAAACACAACGAAACAGAGTCAGCCAAGAAGTGAAGGAAAAGATAACAAAGTTTTTAGAACGCGACGATAACAGTAGGGCCACTACTGGAAAGAAAGAGACAATTACAAAGATGAAAAATAAAATGCAAAAGCGCTTCCTGGTGGATTCTATGCAGACACTGCACCTGAAGTTTAGACACGAGAATCCCGAAGTCAGACTCTCCTATGCAGAGTTTTGCAAAAAGCGACCCTTTTGGATTGTTAAACCAACGATCAAAGACAGAGACACATGTCTGTGTAAGCTACACTCAAACATACAGTTCATGGCAAACAAACTGTTCTTTCACAAAGTCATTAAAACGTCCAAAGTCACCGATCTCATGTATTCAGTTACATGCAAAAATGTGACAAAAGAATGCATGTACAGGGAGTGTCTGGATTGTAAAGACCATGAACTCCAAACCTCTGCCTTCGATGCTGGGGAGCAAACCTGGTGGTTTGAATGGAGAAGCTCTGTGGAGGACAGAGAAAAAAAGAAAAAAGACGGCTCCAAAGAAATGATTAAAGTTCACCACACAACGAAGGAAAAAGTATATGGGACTTTGAAGACACTTTTGGATGACTTTTCTGACCAACTGAAAAAAAAGATGGGAAAGCACATTCACAACATAAAACACCAATATCTGTCTTTGAGAGCACTAAAAGAAAAGATTGACGAAGACAGTATTGTTCTACAAATTGACTTCGCAGAAAATTACATGTGCAAATTTTCCAATGAAATCCAAGCGGTCCATTTTGGCGATTCCCACCAGCAGGTAAGCCTCCATACTGGTGTGGCTCGCACGAAGAATGGTGTTGTGTCTGTTTGCACCATTAGTTCCTCAATGCGCCATGACCCATCTGCAATCTGGGCTCACCTCAAAAAAGTGCTTCCCTACCTCAAACAACAAAACACAGCTGCAACCACCCTGCATGTCATAAGTGATGGCCCAACCACTCAGTATAGGTCAAAAAAGAACTTTTTTTTCCTGAGCAAAGTACCATATGAGCTAGGATTCAAAAAGGTGACCTGGAATTTTCTGGAGTCCGGACATGGGAAGGGCCCAGCTGATGGAATTGGTGCGGCTGTTAAGCGCCAAGCAGACTCGCTTGTGGCCAAGGGCATTGACCTTCCAACTGGAAAAGTATTGTATGAACAACTGCTTAACCAGCCATCAACTGTCAAGTTAATGTACATCACTGAGGGGGAAATTGAAGAGATGGATAGTCTCCTTCCTGATGACCTGCTGACCATCAAAGGAACCATGCAGATACATCAGGTATGTCACTTTAACATTTTTCAATTTATATCTCCACAGTATTCAAATGCACTTTGTTCTTTTAGATTGTCTCTACAAGACCGGAGGAGATTTCTTGGCGAGTTCTCAGCTGCTTTTGTGCAGATCCCCATCCTTGCCAGTGTTTTGGTCTCAAAAAAGTCAACATACTGGGAGCACAGAACATGGAGACTGCATTGGGATCACCAAGTTCAAGCACACTTACAGCACATCTCAACCCATCATAGACCTGCATGAGGGACTGATTGGAAGTTGGTGTGTGGTACGGTATGATGGGGATCCTTACCCTGGCATTATACAGGATGTGGACCCTGAGGGTTGTGCTCTGGTGAGAACCATGAGTCATATTGGCAAAAACAAGTTCTTCTGGCCTATGAGAGACAATGTTATTTGGTACCGGCCAGAAGATGTGATCAGGCTGGTCCCAGAGCCTCAACCAGTAACAAAGAGGCATGTGATGGTAGAGCCAACAGTTTGGAAAGAAATATGCTCTGTTCTTGACCATGAAACATAACTGAACCTCTGGCCCATATGCAAGTTTGACAGATACAGTATTTAGCAAATACAATGTCTATTTAGTCAGATTCAACTTGTTATTCCACATGATTACGTTTGACAGTACATGGATTTACGATATAACACACATGACAGTAATGTTTAAGTACAGAGTGTTTGCTCTGGTTCAGCATAGGCATATAAGTTTTCAATTTCAAAATATATTGCCTATTTTATCTGTTATTCAACTGGTTATATTAAGGTTATGTTAAGGTAATGATGACATAAAGGGTTTGCTCTAGTTTGTACTAGTTTGCTCTAGTTCAGCATGTAGAAAACAGTGAAGAAATGATTTGCTGATTTTTAACACAAATTCATGTTTTTTAATTTTTTGGATTGTTTTTAATTTAAAAATATTGGTGATATGTTTTTGTTCACAAATGCTGTTGCTTATTGATTTGCTCTGGTTCACCACATAGAGCAGTAGAAAAATTGTTTTTAATTGGAAGTTGCCTATCTGTCATTTCCGCCACACACTGTCTCTTCCGCCACGCCATGTCATTTCCACCACAACACATATTTTAAAGTAAAACATATAAAAAACATACAATCAAACCAACTATATTCAGTGGTGTTGATAATTGTGCAGTTAGGGCTAAGATTTGTGTATACACTTTGAGAAATATATGATTTTGAGCTATGATAAGAAAATGAAATGTTCCATTGACCTAGTTTTAGGTGTTTTTTAGTGTAAACATTGTAAAATCTTTACAGTTACATTTCTGAAAAAAATAATAAATTACAAATTTGAACAGATATGTGTGTGCTATTTAATCAAATATATTTATAACAGAAGATATTTCATTATTTTCTCTTAAAAATACATGTTTTGTTATGTGATGGAAATGACCGTTTTCTTGGACTGTCAGATAAAAATGGCAAAAAATATATATTAGTAAATACAAATCATCACAGCCAACTTCAGGGAAGGTTTCCAGACAGATTGAGAAACCAACTGATACTAAAAAATTGTTTGTAGAAATGTTTTTATTTTCTGAAACTGTCTAGCTCAAAGAGTACCATAGTTGAAGAATTACCCGTATACAAAATGGTGTATTACAGCCTGATTAATCAGACTAGATGTATAGTAGACCTGTAATTGCATAATCAAAGAAAGAGGGTTGGAAAAGCTTTCCCTGGAAATTGACAGTGAAGCTGACCTTTTAGCAGTGATGCCATTTCATCAAGAAGATGCAGCCAGCACTTGCCCAAGGATGCTGTGAAGTTGGGTGTGCAGAGTTAGAGAGGGAACTGATCAATCTGCAGCATAAACTGAGGAAGCAGATGCTGGCTAAAAGTAATGACAGTAATCCAATGGATTACGTTACTAATTACTTTTGTCATGTCACATTTTCACATTTTAGTCATTTAGCAGACGCTCTTATCCAGAGCGACTTACAGTTAGTGAGTGCATACATTATTTTTCATACTGGCCCCCCGTGGGAATCAAACCCACAACCCTGGCGTTGCAAACGCCATGCTCTACCAACTGAGCTACATCCCTGCCGGCCATTCTCTCCCCTACCCTGGACCAATTGTGCGCCGCCCCATGGGTCTCCCGGTCGCCACCGGCAACGACAGAGCCTGGTTTTGAACCAGGATCTCTAGTGGCACAGCTAGCACTGCAATGCAGTGCCTTAGACCACTGCGCCACTCGGAAGAGTAACTGATTACATTTTTCAAGTAATCTGCCCAACCGTGTGTGTGTGAGACCAGTTACTTCTGTTCAGTATTTATTTTTCAGGTTGGTATTTTGGACATGGACCTGTGTGGAATATTGAGTCCACAAAACTATGTGTATGATCATGTTCACACATACCTGCATGTGTGACCTGTCCATCATCTGTCTGGGTATCAGGTTGGGATCCTGGATGTGGACCTGTGTGGGCCCAGTACCGCCGCATGCTGAGTGTAGGCAAGCCAGAGGTGCACCAGTGTGACTCGGGCTGGGTGCCTGTCTACACAGACGCCCAGAAGAGCCTGGCGCTCATGTCCATAGGCTTCCTGCTGGAGGACCCAGAAGAAGCAGTGGTCTGGATTGGCCCAAAGAAAACAGGTATGCTCAGTCTACATCAGGCTATTAGAGGCCAAGGTGGACCTTCTACAGTTACTCCTACTTTGAAACACTTGATGCAAACGGCCCCTGATCAACATGAAGAGCCTTAAGGGTAGGGGCTAGGGGTTACTGGGTGGGACTGTGGTCACTTATCAATATCCTCTCACGTTCTCTGGCTCGCTCTCCCCCCATTTCTCCCCCGTCACTCTCCGTATGGTCACGTCACAGCTCTGATTGGTCAGTTTGTGTCTTATGTGGCGTGGGGGGAGCTGGGCGTGCTCCTGGTGTACACGCCCCTGGGGATGTCAGATGAGCAACAGGCTGTCCTGGAAAACCTGAAGAAGCAGCACAAACAAACTCACTACACAACAGGTACAGCACAAGTAAGAATGGTGTTGTGTCAACTCCTGCTCCCCACCATTTATAGAAGAGAAACAAAACAATTTCATTGGGGGTGGGTCTTAAATGCTGGCAACAGGAACCTTTTGTTCTGACAAAATGATTTACCCTTGACAATGATCTGCCCTTCTCCCGAAGTGCGCACTTGTGCACTCCCCATCATGCGTCCAAAAGCACTGAACTAGCGCAAACATGGCCTAGAGAGAGTTCAAGTTTCAAGTTTTATTAGTCGTACGGGATACTCATGGTATACATCATCCAACGAAATGCTTACTTGCAGGTTCCTTCTCCACAATGCAACAACAATAAGAAATAATAAAAGATAAGAATACGAACATAAAGTAAATGGCTCAGTAGAATAGAATAACTATTTTAGCATAAGCATAATACAGGAAGGCATAATTTATAGTCCAATGTTTACATGTGTATGGGGGAAGAGGGGGATGGTGGGCAGTGTATAAACTGAGCAGTATAATAAGAGTCTGGTAGCAGCAGTTGTGATGTTTTTAGAGATTAAACGTTAACATGCACAGTGCACACCACCATGCTGTCTCTCATATCTGTGCTACAGGGAATTACAGCCCCAAAGGTCACTTCATTATAAAAGAAAACTTCTGCGCACATGGTGCACACAGGTAAAGGGAGTTTCCACCTTATTACGTATACCAGGATCATGTTCATTAGGGCACAATGTAGCAAAGCCTTTTGCAACAAAAAAAAAGTGTGTTTCTTATTGGACAAGGTTGATGGTAATTCCAGTTTGACAGCATTTTAATCCGTTTCGTGCCTTCTTCTGAACATGACCAGGTCCTTTCAAATCCATTAAAGGCCCAGTGCAGCCCAAAACGTGATTTTAATGTGTTTTTATATATATTTCCACACTGAGGTTGGAATAATACTGTGAAAATGATAATAATTCCCTTTTAGTGTAAGAGCTGTTTGAAAAGACTACCTGAAATTTCAGCCTGTTTTGTTAGGGTGGAACTTTGGCCTACCTGGTGACATCACCAGGCAATAAATTAGTTAATAGACCAATAAGAGAGTTCCAAACCTCCCTGCCATAACAGCTAGTTTTCAGTTTTCCCCTCCCCACTCAGACCACTCCCAGACAGTCCTAGCAAAATTCTTGCTTGAGAAATTGCTCTTTGCTAAGAAGCTATGTTTGTTTATTTTTGACCATTTAAATAGAAAACTATTACAGTAAGGCACTTCATTATTACCCAGAAATTATTTGATATTGAGATAAAAACGGCTGCATTGGACCTTTAGAGGAAGTGAACAAGTGCAAACTAGCGAAAGAAGGGCAGGGGGACAGAGAATTGGGACGTAGAACCAGACAATCAATAATGACTCTGGTTGATCCATTGTATTGTATTAGATGTTATATTATATGGTACTTAGATATACTGTTATTCTGTGCAGGCGCTATCAACAGGTGACATCAGGAGAGAGATCACATTCTGTATAATGACTTTGTCACTATTTTGTCATATTAGAATCTCAGCATATGCCAGTTCTGACCATTCTAATATAGTGTGTTTGCTTACAGGAATGCAGTATATTCTCCAAGGGAGGAGGAGAGGAGCTGGCCAAGTTGACAGGATCAGCATATTTGGGTAAGCGATATGACGTGTATTTCATTGAACAGCCACAAGATGTCAGTCTAACCAAGGGATCATCAATTACAATAGATTCAGCCGTGGGACGATTTCTACTTGAGCGGATGGTCAGGGGGCTGGAACATAATTACAAATAAACCCAAACAGATTTCATATTTGACTAAAACAGAATCATTTCAAACCTTGCTTGCATTTGTATACGTTCACATACACAGAGTGCACAAAGCATTAGGAACACCTGCTCTTTCCATGACCGACTGACCAGGTGAATCCAGGTGAAAGCTATGATCCCTTATTGATGTCACTTGTTAAATCCACTTCAATCAGTGTAGATGAAGGGGAGGAGACAGGTTAAAGAAGGATTTTTAAGCCTTGAGACATGGATTGTGTGTGTGTGCCATTCAGAGGGTGAATGGGTGAGACAAAATAATGAAGTGCCTTTGAACAGGGTATGGTAGTAGGTGCCAGGCGCACCGGTTTGTATCAAGAGCTGCAACGCTGCTGGGTTTTTCACGCTCAACAGTTTCCCGTGTGTATCAAGAATGGTCCACCACCCAAAGGACATCCAGCCAACTTGACACAACTGTGGGAAGCATTGGAGTCAACATGGGCCAGCATCCCTGTGGAACGCTAAATACTTTCGACACCTTGTCCACGCCCTGACGAATTGAGGCTGTTCTGAGGGAAAAGGGGGTGCAACTCAATATTAGGGAGGTGTTCCTAATGTTTTATACACTCAGTGTATATCTCTCAATTATGCTTGGGAATTTCCAAAAATGTCTAAAAGTAAAATCCCTTGGAGTTGATTTGATGTTTTTTGCTGTATTTTATGTCAAAAAAAAAAAAAAAAAAGAATAACAAAACGCACCCGTGGGCCAAATACATCCCGCAGAGACCAGTTGGGGAACCCTGTTCTAATCCAACCGACTCCAGCCCTTGTCATCGTTTAGCAGGCATTTTACAGTAGAGCTGCACTGATAAAATGGTTGGTCTTCATTGCAGTGGAGTGCTTGTAAGATTTGGGGGAAGAGATGATACAATTCAGTCAAAGCGATAGAGGTCCAAGTAAGTGGTAGATTATTGACCATTTCACCATTAACACTCAACCATCCTCTGCTTTATATGAGTTGAAACCAATCACTGAGTAATGAAGCTGCTAATTTAACTAATTCCCCGAGCGGTAAGCCATATTTTCTGCAGCAGCACTATTCCCAGCCAACTACAGCATTGCTATGACTGTTGATGGAGAGGCGTTTAGAGAACTGTGTACTATTGACTGGCTAATGTAGACTGTGTGAAGACTAGTGGGTATACGTACACTACCGTTCAAAGGTTTGGGGTCGCTTAGAAATGTCCTTGTTTTCGAAAGAAAAGCACAAAAAAAATCCATTAAAATAACATCAAGTTGATCAGAAATACAGTATAGACATTGTACATGTTGTACAGTGGGGAAAAAAAGTATTTAGTCAGCCACCAATTGTGCAAGTTCTCCCACTTAAAAAGATGAGAGAGGCCTGTAATTTTCATCATAGGTACACGTCAACTATGACAGACAAAATGAGAAAAGAAATCCAGAAAATCACATTGTAGGATTTTTAATGAATTTATTTGCAAATTATGGTGGAAAATAAGTATTTGGTCAATAACAAAAGTTTCTCAATACTTTGTTATATACCCTTTGTTGGCAATGACACAGGTCAAACGTTTTCTGTAAGTCTTCACAAGGTTTTCACACAATGTTGCTGGTATTTTGGCCCATTCCTCCATGCAGATCTCCTCTAGAGCAGTGATGTTTTGGGGCTGTCGCTGGGCAACACGGACTTTCAACTCCCTCCAAAGATTTTCTATGGGGTTGAGATCTGGAGACTGGCTAGGCCACTCCAGGACCTTGAAATGCTTCTTACGAAGCCACTCCTTCGTTGCCCGGGCGGTGTGTTTGGGATCATTGTCATGCTGAAAGACCCAGCCACGTTTCATCTTTAATGCCCTTGCTGATGGAAGGAGGTTTTCACTCAAAATCTCACGATACATGGCCCCATTCATTCTTTCCTTTACACGGATCAGTCGTCCTAGTCCCTTTGCAGAAAAACAGCCCCAAAGCATGATGTTTCCACCCCCATGCTTCATAGTAGGTATGGTGTTCTTTGGATGCAACTCAGCATTCTTTGTCCTCCAAACACGACGAGTTGAGTTTTTACCAAAAAGTTATATTTTGGTTTCATCTGACCATATGACATTCTCCCAATCCTCTTCTGGATCATCCAAATGCACTCTAGCAAACTTCAGACTGGCCTGGACATGTACTGGCTTAAGCAGGGGGACACGTCTGGCACTGCAGGATTTGAGTCCCTGGCGGCGTAGTGTGTTACTGATGGTAGGCTTTGTTACTTTGGTCCCAGCTCTCTGCAGGTCATTCACTAGGTCCCCCCGTGTGGTTCTGGGATTTTTGCTCACCGTTCTTGTGATCATTTTGACCCCACGGGGTGAGATCTTGCGTGGAGCCCCAGATCGAGGGAGATTATCAGTGGTCTTGTATGTCTTCCATTTCCTAATAATTGCTCCCACAGTTGATTTCTTCAAACCAAGCTGCTTACCTATTGCAGATTCAGTCTTCCCAGCCTGGTGCAGGTCTACAATTTTGTTTCTGGTGTCCTTTGACAGCTCTTTGGTCTTGGCCATAGTGGAGTTTGGAGTGTGACTGTTTGAGGTTGTGGACAGGTGTCTTTTATACTGATAACAAGTTCAAACAGGTGCCATTAATACAGGTATTGAGTGGAGGACAGAGGAGCCTCTTAAAGAAGAAGTTACAGGTCTGTGAGAGCCAGAAATCTTGCTTGTTTGTAGGTGACCAAATACTTATTTTCCACCATAATTAGCAAATAAATTCATAAAAAATCCTACAATGTGATTTTCTGGAGAAAAAAATTCTCAATTTGTCTGTCATAGTTGACGTGTACCTATGATGAAAATTACAGGGCTCTCTCATATTTTTAAGTGGGAGAACTTGCACAATTGGTGGCTGACTAAATACTTTTTTCCCCCACTGTAAATGGCTATTTTAGCTGGCAACGGCTGATTTTTAATGGAAAATCTACATTAGAGTATCTAGTTTGAGAAACAGACGCCTCACAGGTCCTCAACTGGCAGCTTCATTAAATAGTACCCGCAAAACACCAGTCTCAACGTCAACAGTGAAGAGGCGACTCCGGGATGCTGACTTTCTAGGCAGAGTTGCAAAGAAAAAGCCATATCATAGACTACCCATCTTAATCTTTTATTTTTATTGGCCAGTCTGAGGCTTTTTCATTGCTACTCTGCCTAGAAGGTCAGCATCCCGGAGTCGCCTCTTCACTGTTGACGTTGAGACTGGTGTTTTGCGGGTACTATTTAATGAAGCTGCCAGTTGAGGACCTGTGAGACGTCTGTTTCTCAAACTAGACACTAATGTATTTGTCCTCTTGCTCAGTTGTGCACCGGGGCCTTCCACTCCTCTTTCTATTCTGGTTAGAGCCAGTTTGCTCTGTTCTGTGAAGGGAGTAGTACACAGCGTTGTAGGAGATCTTCAGTTTCTTGGCAATTTCTCGCATGGAATAGCCTTCATTTCTCAGAACAAGAATAGACTGATGAGTTTCAGAATAAAGTTATTTGTTTCTGGCCATTTTGAGCCTGTAATCGAACCCACAATTGCTGATGCTCCAGATACTCAACTACTCTCAAGAAGGCCAGTTTTATTGCTTCTTTAAATCAGCACAACAGTTTTCAGCTGTGCTAACATAATTGCAAAAGGGTTTTCTGATGATCAATTAGCCTTTTAAAATGATAAACTTGGATTAGCAAACACAACGTGCCATTGGAACACAGGACTGATGGTTGCTGATAATGGGCCTCTGTACGCCTATGTAGATATTCCATAAAAAATCTGCCGTTTCCAGCTACAATAGCCATTTACATGTCTACACTGTATTTCTGATCAATTTGATGTTACTTTAATGGACAAAAAAATTGCTTTTCTTTCAAAAATAAGGACTTTTCTAAGTGACCTCAAGCTTTTGAATGATAGTGTATGTAGTATATTATACATGCAATATTAAAATAACTTGATATTTTCAGGTGCTGACCTCTAAGACATAGCTTAGTGCAGGATTCTTCAATTCCGGTCCTGGAGGGCCGAGACACCTCTGTTTTTCATCCTCTCCTTCTAATCAGGGGCTAATTCAGACCTGGGACACCAGGTGAGTGCAATTAACTACCAGATAGAAATAAAAAACAGAAGTGTTTCGGCCCTCCAGGACCGGAATTCAAGAACCCTGGTTAGTGTGTTGTTTTATAAAGTAGGCCAGTGTGTTAGCTGCTAGTGTGTTGTTTGCTATGTGGTTGGGAGGCCTCGGGTTAAGAGTGTGTGCGTTCCCCTGGACCCTCTGCTCAGTATCAGCATAAAGGAGAGCAAAGACTTAATCCAGACATTCCCAGATAGTGCTACCTTCAGTGCAATCAACAGCATTGCACAGACCCTCCTGACAAGCCTACAGAATCCCTGAGCATGCAATGGACATTGCATATTCAATAGCAATACATTGTAGCATTGAGCCTTTGTAAAATCATGTTGATACATACAACTTCACAACACATTTCTACATTGGATCTATCTAGTCATACTACAGGTATGTACTTCAGAAATCTACCCACGTAACACTTCACAAGTCTGATCAAGTGTGCTGATATTGAATCGAGAGCAAACCTGTCAATGCAATCCACTTCACCACTACCCAGCTGCCAGCACATTTAGGTTATTGTTACTGTGTAAACCACGTGTCAAACTCATTCCACGGAGGGCCGAGTGTTTGCGGGTTTTCGCTCCTGCCTTGTACTTGATAGATTAATTAAGGTCACTGATTAGTTAGGAACTCCCCGCACCTGGTTGTTTAGGTCTTAATTAAAAGGAAAAAACAAACACCAGCAGACACTAGACTCTACATTTAAAAAATTTAAATTTTATTTAACCTTTATTTAATCAGGTAAGCCAGTTGAGAACAAGTTCTCATTTACAACTGCGACCTGGCCAAGATAAAGCAAAGCAGTGCGATAAAAACAACAACACAGAATTCCATATGGAATAAACAAAACGTACAGTCAAAACACAATAGAAAATCTATATACAGTGTGTGCAAATGTAGTAAGTTATGGAGTTAAGGCAATAAATAGGCCATAGTGCAAAATAATTACAATTTAGTATTAACACTGGAGTGATAGATGTGCAGAAGATGATGTGCAAATAGAGATACTGGGGTGCAAATGAGCAAAATAAATAACAATGTAAATAACAATATGGGGATGAGGTAGTTGGGTGGGCTAATTACAGATGGGCTGGGTACAGGTGCAGTGATCGGTAAGCTGCTCTGACAACTGACGCTTAAAGTTAGTGAGGGAGATAAGTGTCTCCAGCTTCAGAGATTTTTGCAGTTCGTTCCAGTCATTTGCAGCAGAGAACTGGAAGGAATGGCAGCCAAAGGAGGTGTTGGCTTTGGGGATGACCAGTGAGATATACCTGCTGGAATGCATACTGCGGGTGGGTGTTGCTATGGTGACCAATGATCTAAGATAAGGCGGGGATTTACCTAGAAGTGATTTATAGATGACCTGGAGCCAGTGGGTTTGGCGACGAATATGTAGTGAGGGCCAGCCAACGAGAGCGTACAGGTCACAATGGTGGGTAGTATATGGGGATTTGGTGACAAAACGGATGGCACTGTGATAGACTACATCCAATTTGCTGAGTAGAGTGTTGGAAGCTATTTTGTAAATGACATCGCCGAAATCAAGGATCGGTAGGATAGTCAGTTTTACGAGGGCATGTTTAGCAGCATGAGTGAAGGAGGCTTTGTTTGCAAAATAGGAAGCCAATTCTAGATTTAACTTTGGATTGGAGATGCTTAATGTGAGTCTGGAAGGAGAGTTTACGGTCTAACTAGACACCTAGGTATTTGTAGTTGTCCACATATTCTAAGTCAGACCCGTCGAGAGTAGTGATTCTAGTCGGGCGGGCGGGTGCAAGCAGCGTTCGATTGAAGAGCATGCATTTAGTTTTACTAGCATTTAAGATAAGTTGTAGGCCACGGAAGGAGTGTTGTATGGCATTGAAGCTCGTTTGGCGGTTTGTTAACACAGTGTCCAATGAAGAGCCAGATGTATACAAAATGGTGTCGTCTGCGTAGAGGTGGATCTGAGAGTCACCAGCAGCAAGAGCGACATCATTGATATACACAGAGAATAGAGTCGGCCCGAGAATTTAACCCTGGGGCACCCCCATAGAGACTGCCAGAGGTCCAGACAACAGGCCCTCCAATTTGACACATTGAACTCTATCTGAGAAGTAGTTGGTGAACCAGTCGAGGCAGTCATTTGAGAAACCAAGGCTATTTAGTCTGCCAATAAGAATGCGGTGATTGACAGAGTAAAAAGCCTTGGCCAGGTCGATGAAGACGGGTGCACAGTACTGTCTTTTATCGATCGCGGTTATTATATCGTTTAGGACCTTGAGCGTGGCTGAGGTGCACCAGCTCAGAAACCAGATTGCATAGCGGAGAAGGTACGGTGGTTTCAAAATGGTCGGTGATCTGTTTGTTAACTTGGCTTTCAAATACTTTCGAAAGGCAGGGCAGGATGGATATACAGTATCTCACAAAAGTGAGTACACCCCTCACATTTTTGTAAATATTTGAGTATATGAGAGGGGGGAGTGTGGCGGGGGTACCTGTACCAGACAGGGGGAGACAGGCCAGGGCAGACGGTGAACAGATCGCCAGGTGGAATCCAAGCAGCAGTGCAGCAGGCAACGGGAGTAGGTGTCACACCCACTTGGGAGAAGCTTTTTTTGGGAGGCAGATTCCTTGTAGAAAATCCCAGCTAGCTAGCTAATGTAGTTAGCAAGTCTCTGTCCACCGTTTATTTCCACGTGGAAAAGGAGGTTGTTAGCTAGCTATATCTCTTCAGTTTCGGCGAATGGTCTTTTGCGACGTCCGAACAAAGTTGTCCTGTGGCTGTTGTATTTTGGAGATTGCGAGGAGGATATCTTCTGATGTGATCAGATCAACAATATTGTTTCTTATTGAGGTAATTTACAATTGAAGTGTCCTGGCTGCATATCAGTTCAAAATAGAGATGAATCCAGGGGTACTGTATTGTAATGACCTCTGCACAGATGGAGGGTGCTTCAAAGGCCTCTGCATTTGGGTGGGGGAGGCTGTGAAACTCTCCTGCCATTGTTGGGCTCAAGGGCTTTGACACCTCTCCCTTCACACCTCAGTGCTAATTGATCTGATCTGTTCTGTCCTAGCAAGCTTGGTAGCCTTAACCTAGCATTCAGTCCTTATAAAGTAAATATATCGGTGATTTAGTGCATTTTCATTGGGTAAGTATTATTTATAATAAGCCTCCTAGATATTTGCAGCCATAGGTGAGAATATCTCTCTAGGAGCTGATCTGTTGTCAGTATTGTGAAGACCATGGTGCTTGCCTACGGAGCTGTGAGGGGAACGGCACCGCCGTACCTTCAGGCTCTGATCAGTCCCTACACCCAAACGAGGGCATTGCGTTCATCCAACTCTGGCCTGCTGGCCCCCCTACCTCTGCGGAAGCACAGTTCCCGCTCAGCCCAGTCAAAACTGTTCGCTGCTCTGGCACCCCAATGGTGGAACAAGCTCCCTCACGACGCCAGGACAGCGGAGTCACTCACCACCTTCCGGAGACACTTGAAACCCCACCTCTTTAAGGAATACCTGGGATAGGATAAAGTAATCCTTCAACCCCCCCTTACCCCACCCCCCCAATAATAATAATAATAATATTGTAAAGTGGTTGTCCCACTGGCTATCATAAGGTGAATGCACCAATTTGTAAGTCGCTCTGGATAAGAGCGTCTGCTAAATGACGAAAATGTAAATTGTATATATTTTCATGTGACAACACTGAAGAAATGACACTTTGCTACAATGTAAAGTAGTGTGTGTACAGCTTGTATCACAGTGTAAATTTGCTGTCCCCTCAAAATAACTCAACACACAGCCATTAATGTTTAAACCGCTGGCAACAAAAGTGAGTACACCCCTAAGTGAAAATGTCCAAATTGGGCCCAAAGTGTCAATATTTTGTGTGGCCACCATCATTTTCCAGCACCGCCTTAACTCTCTTGGACATGGAGTTCAACAGAGCTTCACAGGTTGCCACTGGAGTCCTCTTCCACTCCTCCATGACGACATCACGGAGCTGGTGGATGTTAGAGACCTTGCACTCCTCCACCTTCCGTTTGAGGATGCCCCACAGATGCTCAATAGGGTTTAGGTCTGGAGACATGCTTGGCCAGTCCATCACTTTTACCCTCAGCTTCTTTAGCAAGGCAGTGGTCGTCTTGGAGGTGTGTTTGGGGTCGTTATCATGTTGGAATACTGCCCTGCGGCCCAGTCTCCGAAGGAAGGGGATCATGCTCTGCTTCAGTATGTCACAGTACATGTTGGCATTCATGGTTCCCTCAATGAACTGTAGTTCCCAAGTGCCGGCAACACTCATGCAGCCCCAGACCATGACACTCCCACCACCATGCTTGACTGTAGGCAAGACACACTTGTCTTTGTACTCCTCACCTGGTTGCCGCCACACACGCTTGACACAATCTGAACCAAATAAGTTTATTTTGGTCTCATCAGACCACAGGACATGGTTCCAGTAATCCATGCCCTTAGTCTGCTTGTCTTCAGCAAACTGTTTGCGGGCTTTCTTGTGCATCATCTTTAGAAGAGGCTTCCTTCTGGGACGACAGCCATGCAGACCAATTTGATGCAGTGTGCGGTGTATTGTCTGAGCACTGACAGGCTGACCCCCCACCCCTTCAACCTCTGCAGCAATGCTGGCAGCACTCATACGTCTATTTCCCAAAGACAACCTCTGGATATGACGCTAAGCACGTGCACCCAACTTCTTTGGTCGACCATGGCGAGGCCTGTTCTGAGTGGAACCTGTCCTGTTAAACCGCTGTATGGTCTTGGCCACCGTGCTGAAGCTCAGTTTCAGGGTCTTGGCAATCTTCCTATAGCCCAGGCCATCTTTAGGTAGAGCAACAATTCTTTTTTTCAGATCCTCAGAGAGTTCTTTACCATGAGGTGCCATGTTGAACTTCCAGTGACCAGTATGAGGGAGTGTGAGAGTGATGACACCAAATTTAACACACCTGCTCCCCATTCACACCTGAGACCTTGTAACACTAACGAGTCACATGACACCGGGGAGGGAAAATGGCTAATTGGGCCCAATTTGGACATTTTCACTTAGGGGTGTACTCACTTTTGTTGCCAGCGGTTTAGACATTAATGGCTGTGTGTTGAGTTATTTTGAGGGGACAGCAAATTTACACTGTTATACAAGCTGTACACTCACTACTTTACATTGTAGCAAAGTGTCATTTCTTCAGTGTTGTCATATGAAAATATATACTCAAATATTTACAAAAATGTGAGGGGTGTACTCACTTTTGTGAGATACTGTAGGTCTGTAACAGTTTGGATCTAGAGTGTCACCCCCTTTGAAGAGGGGGATGACCGCGGCAGCTTTCCAATCTCTGGGGATCTCAGACAATACGAGAGAGGTTGAACACGCTAGTAATAGGGGTTGCGACAATTTCTGCTGCTAATTTTAGAAAGAAACGATCCAGATTGTCTAGCCCAGTTGATTTGTAGGTGTCCAGATGTAGCAGCTCTTTCAGGACATCAGCTATCTGGGGGGGTGCAGAGCTGGTGGCCGGGGTAGGGGTAGCCAGGTGGAAAGCATGGCCAGCCGTAGCAAAATGCTTATTGAAATTCTATATTATCGTAGATTTATCGGTGGTGACAGTTTTTCCTAGCCTCAGTGCAGTGGGTAGCTGGGAGGATGTGCTCTTATTCTCCATGGACTTTAGTGTCCCAAAACCTTTTGGAGTTAGTGCTACAGGATGCAAACTTCTGTTTGAAAAAGCTAGCCTTTGCTTTCCTAACTGATTGTGTTTATTGGTTCCTGACTTCCCTGAAAAGTTGCATATAGCGGGGGCTGTTCTATGCTAATGCAGTACGCCACAGGATGTTTTTGTGCTGGTCAAGGGCAGTCAAGTCTGGGGTAAACCAGGGGCTATATCTGTTCTTAGTTCTGCATTTTTTGAATGGTGCATGCTTATTTAAGATGGAGAGGAAAGCACTTTTGAAGAACATCCAGGCATCCTCTACAGACAGAATGAGGTCAATATCCATCCAGGATACCCGGGCCAGGTCAATTAGAAAGGCCTGCTCGCTGAAGTCTTTTAGGGAGCGTTTGACAGTGATGAGGGGTAGTCGAGTTTGACACCCATTGTAAACGAATGGACAGCTGAACATTCTATCTAGACAGCCACAAATCCTATCACAAAATTCCACATGTTCCACTATACAGACTTCCGATTTGATTTCTCCCAGTTCTGAGCAGCTGAGTTACCAAATAATTAATCAAATCCAATATTTGTAATGAGTGCGCATGTCGACGAACGGTGGTGATTCAACATGTAGAATCGTTGGGAAATTAATTGAAAGTGACCGCCGATCTTCTGGTCAGAGGCAATAGGATGGCCACCCGCTGCTTTCACGTACACTCGACTGTCAGGTGCTCTGGTGTGTTTGCGCTCTAAAGAGGTGAATCTTTGATGACAACAGAGGTGTTAACCATTGTATGAAGAATGACAACGTTCAGCATCCTGAGAGAAATTAAGTATGATTTATAACAAAAATACAATTTATCAACAAAAGAGCCAAAACAATCCATTAAAGGATTTCTGTAATTGATCACAATGTGAGATGTAATTAATTTAAATTACAATAAAGGTTATTTTTAATCAAATTGAAGATAACATGAAAAATGGGTACCATTTAGCTCAATTCAACATCACCTTGAAAATAACCCATATCTCAAGGAAATTACCTGTTATAACTTAAGTGAAAACAAATTCCTACACCAAAACATCACCTGGCTACCCATTTGAATTACACTATGGTACAGACAGTATGGCGAAGTACAAGGAATTTTCAACTAAAAACTATAACTCCATGCACGTTTAATGGAAGCGATGTGTGATGAAAAATCTACAGATGAGCGGGATGAAGCTGCTAAAGTTTTGAAAATTACACTTGTGAGACCCAACACTGGGCACACACCTTTAATGCAATCAAACAGCGGTACTACAGGAAAACATTGAAGTGTTTCGAGAATGTTTTCATTATGATTAAAATACAGTTACACACAAAACTCCCACTCCACCAGCCACACACTAAAGGCAATCTTAATTTTAAACCAAGTAATACATCCAGAGGAATTCCAACCCACATCACAATTAACCCACAGTGCATTAAATCTATCTATAGATATATTTATATGTATGCATGTCTGTATATATCATGGGAAATTAAAGATTTTTGCTCCATTTAAACATTTATAAATAAGATAGAAAAAAACAAAACAAAAAACACAAAACAAAGCCAAGTCCATACATATTTCTTTCTTTACAAATAGAGCCTCAGACATTAAATGCAGAAATCATGTAAACTCCCAAATCAATGCAGGAGAAAAAGCAGTGGGGCCCTTTGGTCAGCTCTCTAAGACCAGAGGCAGAAACCAGCAAGAAGCCTGGAGGCTGTAAAACCAGTGGGGGGAAAGGGAATCTTCATACATTTTGTAACACACAGGACAGACAAATCACTACATTGCATTTGACTATCAAAATCGGGACGACTGTACACATTGTAGAGATAAGACCATATTTATGGAGCCATTTCTAATTATATAATTATTTTCCACATTCGGCACACACACATATACTTATTTTGTCATAAGTTTTAATTTTTTAAATCCAGTTTTACTCTTCTTTTTTTTCTCCAGCAGCAACATAAAAGAGATTTTGGTGGAGAGGTTGATGGTTTATTTAGTGGACAGGATGAGGGCCACGATGAGACCGTAGAGCCCGAGGACCTCTGCGAAGATCAAGATGAGGATCATGCCCACGAAGAGCCGGGGCTGCTGGGCCGTGCCCCTAACGCCCGCGTCACCTACGATACCAATTGCAAAGCCAGCTGCCAGCCCGCTCAAGCCCACACTCAGCCCAGCACCCAGGTGGAGGAAACTCCTACAACACAGAGAGGATTACCATAGGATCAATACAGTGGACAGGGTTTCTATGTGATACAGAATGAACAATGACAAAAGTAAGATGAGATGTTTTCAATGAAAGACAATTACAAAATATTGGGCAATAAAACTACCATTTCCATGGTATATAGATTTGATCTAATATTAAATGTCAGGTGTAATGGATTGATGGACCAATTGCCTCAGAGCCTGTTATAAGTTCCTCACCTTGTAGTATTAGGAATCGAGGGGAAATGCAAATACAGCCAATTTCAAGAAATTAATGGAAGTGGGAGATGTCAGACTCACTTGTAGAGGGTGACCTTCTCGGAGATGTTGTTAGCGATGAGCACTGCTACTACCAGGCCGTAGATGGCTATGATACCCGCCATGACCACGGGGATGATAGACTTCATGATGAGCTCCGGCCTCATCACCGACATGGCAGCAATCCCCGTTCCACTCTTAGCTGTGCCATAGGCTGCTCCCAAGGCTGGTGGAGGAGAGGGAGAGAGTATTAGATCCATATAATACTATAGTAATCCAATATAACACTATAGTAAATAATTGAACACGTAAGGGATAATCAACAAGGGGCTATGGGTTCTATGGAAAATAATGAACGACGTGGAAAGTGTGTTCCACGACGTGCTAACCGAGTGGAACTGACCTTCCAAGGAGTTACATTATTTTCCAAAGAACGCATGGCTATAATTTAACACTAGAAATTAATTACATTTGCCAGTGGAAATGTGTTCAACATCCACTGAAGTACACTATATATACAAAAGTATGTGGACAACCCTTCAAATTAGTGCATTTGGCCATTTCAGCCACACATCCATGCAATCTCCATAGACAAACATTTGCAGTAGAATGTTCTTACTGAAGAGCTCAGTGACTTTCAACATGGCACCATCATAGGATGCCACCTTTCCAACAAGTCAGTCCTTCAAATGTATGCCCTGCTAGAGCTGCCCCGGTCAACTGTAAGTGCCGTTATTGTGAAGTGGAAACTTCTAGGAGCAACAACATCTCAGCCGCAAAGTGGTAGGCCACACAAGCTCACAGAACAGGACCGCTGAAGTGCGTAAAAATCCTCGGTTGCAACACTCACTACAGAGTTCCAAACTGCCTCTGGAAGCAACGTCAGCATAAGAACTGTTGGTCGGGAGCGTCATGAAATGGGTTTCCATGGCCGAGCAGCCGCACACAAGCCTAAGATCACCATGCACAATGCCATACAATGTCATGCTAAACGATTCTGTGCTTACAACTTTGTGGCAACAGTTTGGGGAAGGCCCTTTCTTGTTTCAGCATGACAATACCCCCATGCACAAAGCGAGGTCCATATTAATGCCCATGATTTTGGAATGAGATGTTTGACGAGCAGGTGTCCACATACTAGCTACACTACATTACCAAAAGTAAGTTTACTAGATAGCTACAGTAGTTGCTGTGGTAATCTAACAAACAGACTTGCTAGTTTAGCTAACCAAACCATCAGTCCTAGCTTGCTATTATGAAAATCGAATTCAACAATAGTAATACTGTTTTCAATTCAACCTTTGCTTTAAAAAGCAGCTCAAACCAAAACATGTAAAAATAAACAATGAGCCATTGAATTCTACCGTGCAATAATATAGGGAAATAATGCACACTCTAGAATGCCCTTCAAGACAATCAGAAAGGAGTATTCAACAATACCATGGAATAATTATGTACTATTTAATTATGTGATTAGATCAATGTACAAATAGAGTAGAATACAGAGTTGAGCAACATGGAGGAACTGAAATCGAGGATTAGGTAACAAATTCACAACTCACAGTTTATGTTCCCTGTACAAGGTCAATGTAGCTACAGCTGGAAAATTCTTGTGTATGAGGAAATTACCAGCATCATGTTGTTTTCTCCCACATTGGCATTGCCTAACCACTGATAATGTGCTTGACTGCGGATCTCAAACCACTATTCCATTTAACAGCTACGGTTCAGGGCCAATTCTCTTCACCTCAACCCATAGTACCCACAGGGAATGGAGAGCTGAGGTTAACCCTGTTCATTCCATTTCATGGCTTTCAAATCAGGCTGAGTGTTTTCATCCTGTGCCAGAGCAGCACGAATCTAAATCACTCCTCCTACCAGTCCCTGCCTGAAGAACAGACTCATTAGGTTCTCCATACAGGGAGCTGCTGACTTCAGAGAACAGCAGAATATCACATCCCTCCAGAGGCAACCAGCAGCAGAAGTAGCTCTTAAAGGGATACAAACCAGCACCAGCCGCCACAGAAACAATCCGATGTCACATCGTCAGCGTCCGACAGCACTCAAGAAATAAATAGATTCCATTTCTAAGACAGCGCTAACCGGTGTCATGTAAAAATGTTCCCAGCGTGAAAATGTTCACGTTCGGATAGCTCTGTGTTCTGATCAATTGTGACGTTATGTTTGAAAACGTATGTAACGTCTGAACCGTTTGAGCTAGAAACAATTGGACCCAGTTCTAAAAAGCTGAGAGTCTCAAACACGAACGTGTTGCCCTTTTTGCTCTACGACACCCACAAACTTCACGGGACTAGTCCGAAGTCAAACCCCTCGGCGTACCAATTATAACTATGTGGACCCAGGTCTAAAAAACTGACTCTCACAAACGCGTTGTCCATTTTGCTCTTCGCCCACAAGCTTCACGGGACATGTCTGAAGTCAGAACCGAGAACAATTAGAACATGAAAATGAATAGACAATTGAATTGGGAACACTTTTAGTTGGGAACATTTTGACATGACAAGAGGCAGCAGGGCACTCTAATGTAATAGAGGCCCAGCAGAATCAGGACGTCGACAGGCGGCTCGAGACGACACAGACCAGGATGCAGACAGCCAGAGACGTCACAGAGTGCCGACGTCTGCAGGAGAGGCAGAGAAACCGAGGAAGAACAGTGTTGTGATTAAATCAATACTCTCTTAGGCCTTTAAAAATGGATGTACTCGGTCGGTAACAGGTCAGCCGACTGGAGGATAAAATTAAATGTATCTCTAGATAACGGTGAGAGAATGTCAGAGCAGCGTGGGGGCGACAGGCCGCCGTGGTCGTGAATCAGAGGCAGGCTGGGCTGACGAGATTTCCCCCACGTCAGCCCGCGCTCTCACCCGCAGCGAGCGCACACTAAACTGAGAGCTGGCTACGACTGACCAGAGCATCTAATATGCAGCCTAACTAGCAGCCACTGCCTGACTGTGTCTGCAACCTGCGCCACTCTTCCCTTAGCATTGTGCAAGGAGGATGACACTGGACAAGGTCATTTGTGTTGGTGGAGAAAGGGCAATATTAAGTTTGCCTCTCAACCCAGCAAGGAGTGCTAAGAAGCTCCAGGATATAGCTACAGTATGTGAATATGACTTCATCAAATAGCCTAGGAGAAATTGTGCTCGAAGGAGTGAATTAGCCAGTTAGACATGTTACATGTAGAGATTTGCATTCACTGTGTAAATATTACAAAACACTATAGATTGACTACCTAGACCTTGAAGCCTGAACCTCTTTAAACAGGTCTCTTGCACTGCAGACAGACCACAGAACCACAAAACCCAAGCAATATGTTATGGGCAGTGGATCAACGATGCTCCTTCGTGAATGGCCATGGTCAGCCTCCATGAGTCCTAAAGGGAACATTGGATTCATCTTCCACTGTTTTCTCTATCTCTATGAGTGAGTCCTTGTGTGTGCAGAATGAATAGGACAGGGTCAGACTTTTTTGCCTGATTCCATTTTCTCTTTTGTTTTTCCAGGTTTCACACTTTTTTTTTTTTTTAAATAGAAAAAACAAAAAATGGATGTTAAGTCCACAACAATGCTTAAACCACATCAGAAGACCACTTTTGAGGTCTGGGAAAATCTACAAAATGTAGAATTTTGGGTGTAGTATCCTTCACTTAAATTGTACACCAGCCAGAGACCGCTGCTTGGTTAGCCATGTTTCTGTAGCGCTCATGTGGTTGCAGAGTTAGCAAAACAAATGGAAACTGGATTGATGCCAATACTCATGATATCATTCTGGCAGTTAGGCATAGGCTAGAGGTCCTGGGGCTTTCCCACCCGGACCCGTTCTGAACAGACCCGAGGACAAATAGACCCGTTCCGTATAGACCTGGTCGGATCCAGACCCCGTCTGTACAGTGTGAGGGAAGCAGCAGAAAAGTAATTTAAGCTACTTTATTCATCTGAGCTGAAAAGGCACGAAAGGAGGGAGAGAAAGGTGCCACTCTAGCAGGCGGGGTAGGGGCCGTACTTGTGAGCAAGTGACACGGGCGCAGGGACGAGGGAGGGAGAGACAGCAACCAAGCTGACTCGCGCGCTAGTAGACTAATAAGCTGCCATTTCTAGGTTATTTATCAAATATGATTACATAGTAACAGTCTTGACTGCATCAAACCAGGAGACACTAGTAAAGCTAGCAAACGTTAGTTGAGGCTGCAGTGCATACGCTCTCATCCTACAGTTGCAAACAACTCCATTCAGAATATTAAGTAGCAGCCTACCTGTTTGCTATTGGTCGTTGTAGCCTATCCTTCTCCTTGAACTTTCAATTCCGTCATAATTCCATCTTCCATTGATTAGATATCCCAACTTGCCACACACGGAGGCTCTATGACTGTAGCCTATTGCTGCTTTGATGACTTGATGATTGGCCAACAACAAGCTATACGCATCACTCTCGTGAAACACAAGTCTCTCTCTCTGGATCTGTACAGGCCCTTCCGGACAAGTCAGTTAAAATTACACGTACCCGAGACCCGCGACAATCATTTCTGATCTGACCCAGACCCGTGACATTTAGAATTCTGGATCCAGATCCTGCTCCGGTCTCAGATCGCTGGTACAGGTGGATCCGTGAAGACCTCTTGCAAAGGCTATTTTGTAGTTAGGCTAACATTTAATTGAGAAGGTTTTTGGGAAAGGCTTTCTATTTACCAGAAGACGGTTGTCATTACATTAGCATCATCGCTAACGGCTACACAAAGAGGTAGACAATCACGCACAGACAGGGACATTCCTGTGCCATTGCCTCTTCAGAAAGTTTAAGGAAAATATGAATCACTGATGCTTTTTGTTCAAGTTTTATGATAATCTTTGGCAAATTAATGAATTTTCTAAGTTCAATACATTTAGTGGATTTCCTACTTAGTTCAATACATTTATGAATATTGTTGAATTGCGTTTTAATGTCTGGATTCTGTGTGCAACGCATATTTTATAGGGCCCTAGCATTGGCACAGCAGCTACAGAGCGAAAAATAGGGTTTCTGAACTGTCTACATATTTCAACATGGTTTTTCAAGAGTTTGCAGATACTTCACATGGAATAATGCAAATATGCCCTTTCAGCGGGTGGCAAATAAAATTTGAATCAATGAATCCATCCATCTCTTAAAGTAGGGAGGAATCCCACCAATCTAGCTGTTGCGTCTAACCCAACACAAAGCAGTCCAACTGACTACTTGGTTTACAGTAAAGTCAACAAGAACATTTGTTTTGTCAGCCCTTGAACTTGCTTCGGGACACATCCCTTGGCATGTAGCCTCAAGACATTTCATGCAGGTGTCCAGAGAGCTCCATGTATTGTCGAGGCAGCCTGAAGGAAGGCGGTGTCTCTGGAGCTTTGTGTGATGGATGGCTCTAGGGGAAGTGGATGGCAAATCCTTAAAATGTGCACATAGCAGCCAGCCACCCGCCAGACCCCTACTTCCCTCTATTCCTTCCTACATGGACTTATTTGTCACAAGACTGATGCCATGTATGCAAGGTTAAATTACTCCGCTCTAAACTTGTCAGACCATTGAACCAATTCACACATTTTAAGTGAGGCACAGTGCCACACAGTAGTGTATTTCTAAGAAAAAGTAGTATCAACTTAAACTTTCAACATATGTGAAAATTGTGTTTCCAATGACATCGGTGTGCATCGTGTGATTTTAACCAATTATGGCATTGCCTACCAATTGTCTACTAATTGGCTGATGTCATTGCAAACACTTATTTTCCTCTGTATTTTTTACTATAAAACATAGAAACGTGCCATGTTCACATGTTGATGTTGGGTTGGTGCTGAGATGAATAGGAAGTTGAAAAATGGTGAAATATTCCTATTTAGACCTTTACTCTACTGAAGACTGGTGTAATAGCCTAGCACTTTTCTCAATCTCTCATGGTAGGGAAGTCTATCCACAGGGTTGATGTTACAGCTAAGGCTGTTACAGTGACCGTATTACCACCACACCGGCAGTCATGGTAATTAGGGTTCTCCAAGCGCTGATGGTCATTAGTAGCCTACAAAACTTGATAACTGCCTGGTACTCAGCACTCTATTGTCCCTCTAATCACTCTGACACTGCGAATGTAATCGAAAATCTAATCAAACACTTCATGAGAGCCCATGAGCTCATGTTGAGCAACATTTCTATAGGCTATGCAATTGCGTGAGAAAACAGAGTGATGGCCTCTATTAAAAAGAGGAGGATCCCATCAGCTTTCTATAGGCTAGGCATACTATATTTATTTCCCAACTTTCCTAATATTAAGCACATTTCTAATCTTTACAACAGGAGTATTAGCCTACCTGGCTGGCATAAAAATGATTCACGGGAAAAGCGTCCTCCATTCGCTATTTAAGTGCATAGATGACATAAAATTTTTGCCCCTACCCCTATTCCGACAAGTGCATAATAATGGTCCATTCTAAATCAAAACTAATTTCACACATATATTATTTAGTATATGTAATCTTTAGATTAAATCAAGAGTAGTGCGATGGGTGACAATATTAGCCTATCACTTGTGAACGATATATTATCACTTGTGAATGATGCCCAGCTTGTGTGCAGTAAGGCAAGAAACGAATGCCTTTTTTTGCGACTTTTTCAAATCATAGTCACACACCTCACGTAGCCTAGCCCATGAGCTTATATGTTTTGATTAGGTTTGTATCACAACTAAAGTGGCAAAATAACTAATAAAATTAAGCACATTAAATCAGCTTTACAACGGGTTTAGAGCCTAACTGGCATACATACGCAGCACATGAGTTTCAACTTTAATAGGAAGCACAATATAGGCAATGGTTTACAAACGCAAATCAGTAGATCAAAAAGTCACTTCACAAAATAAAGAAATAAGCTGGTAATTTACACATTGTTTCTCAATCTGGTAGTGGTGGTGATGCAGTGACATCGCAAGATGGCAGTCTCACGTTTCCTGTAAAGAAACCCTGTAAGATGCTTAATGCTGCTGGGCCTGAATCATCACCGGTGTCCCTGGTCGGCCCCCTCCACTGGGCGCCTGCTACCACCCACCAGATAAAAAGGCACTTAAAAGTTTTGAATATTAAATAAAGAAAACAGTACTCAGTACAGAAATTGTAAATTAAACATCGATTCCTAATTCCGGCCTAGTGATAGTCCAAACCATGTCTCTTGCAATCATAGGCACAGTTGATTGGTAATTCGACGCTGTGAGAAAGCATATTGTTGGAAATGCTTTGAGTGAATGCATCAGACCTAACAAGATAAAAAAATCTAAGACAATACTTATACATCCCTGTCCTTATTTGTCACACGGAAGACTCAAGATCACTAGACAGTTGTTTCTACGCCGTCACTTGCCCGAGGCCATTAAGGATATGAGCGAGCGATCAAATGAATCCACTGTTGCCAATGTCTCGCCTCTGACATTATTTCAACTGAACATGCAAATTGGTCATAAATGTGGTAAAATCGTATCTATTAATTGTGGTTTAGTGGTAGGTTGTGTGTATAGGTCTCCACCATGAATGCACTTTCTAAATCATTGGCTACTTGGACATTCCAAATCATAATCAAAGTCCAATCATGTGATCTTATCTCAAATCTCA